GAGATATATAATAGATACACGCATCAGTATTTTCCTTGCAATTTAGTGATAAAAAACACAGTGAATATGCCTTTTTCACTTTTTGAAGTACACATAACACTCGGATTTAAATCCGAGGTTTTCGCATTTATTTGTATATTAATCATGAATAAATAAGAGCAATTTTTTAAACTTCACGAATTTGTATTATATAGTATGTTTTTTTTTCGTTTAAAAAAATATTCTGATATCATGAATAGCTATTGTGTAAACTTATCATTGCACAACGACATGAGATAGTATTTTCTCACACCATAGTGGAGTAATAAATAAAGGAAGAATATCAATTAAAAGTTACTCGAGAAAACTTTACTGACAACTAACGACAGCTATTACATCTCTCTGTACGATAAACATGGTACGGATAGAGTAAGGACGAATAAACTCAACTTCGACTCGCTGTTGCTTCACATGACGTATATTCATCACTAGTCTACAGACAAATTGAGAAAAAACATTAAATCAATATCAAATGGCGAACGCACTTATGCACTTAGTGGCACTAATTTCTGAAATACTCTGATCACTTTTTCAGAGGGACTACTTTATATCAAGTTGTAGCTTGACAAAAGACAAATCATCTCATGAAGTCAGATTTTTCGGCCTATTTTTTTTTCTCGAGAAAATTATTGATTAAGTAGACCAACACGGAGCAATGAAACACGACAGCTAATGAGACCAGGGTCTTATGTGATTATTGTTATATGCATGCAGACAGTGTTTCCAATAACAGATGTACACAGCAAAATCAAAATGTACAGAACATCTGTTTTTGATTTACACCCTGATTTACACTTTGCTAAAAAAAAAGTAAAATGTACTGTAAACATCTTGTGAAAAAAATACATTTTGATTCTAGACCAGAATTAGACAAGTTGTGCAAATATCATTATGACTACAAGTATGCGACAATACATTATGACCTCTTACGTATAATTTTCTAGTTGAATAATAAAATATAATTTCCTTTATTTTGTATTCCCTTTCTAAATTTATATCTCTGGACATAAAAAAGTATTTTGGGATTGTGATTGCAATTAATATATTTTTTTTTTGTGTGTTATAAAAAACTTTTCTCATCTTCTTTGTAAAACACCATGTTACATCATGAAATACCAGTGGCGGATTTAGCGGGGAGGGGACGGGTGCTACGAAGCGATCGCACTCCGCCCCCTCCCCCTTCGAGAAAATTTTTCCGATTTTTCCCAGCAAAATGAACGAAAAAAAAGTCCATTCTACCTCAAATTTACTTGAAAATGTGTTTTTTGCCTATGATCGTAGCCTCCTTCCAAAATTCTGGATCCGCCACTGTGAAATACTGTCTATTCATTGATTATTTGTTCATCAAATGTTAATTTATATTTGTCATAAAATAATAAACATCATTTTTTTTTTGTTTTTTAGATAGAAAAAAATCAATTTTAGTACATTTTGTACATTTTGCTACTACAAGCAAAGTGTACACTTATGATTTGTGCTCATATCCACAGTGTACGCGTACATTTTGTTTTCGATTTCCTTTGGAAACATTGCATGCACAATCAAAAGAGTATCTTTTAGTCAGATAAATTTCATCTTGTTAGAATGTTTTCGATTACTCAATACCATGTTCTTCGCCATGTTTTCATTCAACTTCTAAAACACACGGATAGCAAATCCTGATATAACAATTTTAGTAATAATCATTTTTTTTCTTATGTATCACCTTGACTGTTTTCAATTTCTGTTTAGAAAACACCCATGGGACAATCTAAATCAAAACCACGCCCAGCTACACGTTTTAAAAGAAATTATGGATAAAAAATGAAGTACAATAAAAACAAGACATAATTCTTTTCATTTGGTTTTTTTTGTTGATCGTAAAATTGATTTCAAAATAAATTTAACGATCGAGACGATCGTCAGTATTCAAAAATAGACTTCATTTATATAAAAGAAATTGCGAAGAGACAAACTCAAATACAATGAGATGAAAATTAAAGGAAAATTCATTCTATGAAGCTGTCATTTTGTATTGTATTACTATTCCATGCTGAAGCCATTAAAGACTATTTTTGTTTCTATTGGCCAGATTGTATCGATTATTTCTCGGTTATAATCACTTTTTTAGAAAAAAGTAAAAGTACAGTTTGATAGAGAATTTTTTTTCTATCTTTTAATATTAAAGAAAATCTCGGCCCATTTAATTTTCTAAGAGGTCGCCACGCGTAGTGCATTTGATATTGATTCGCTTAAAATGCTATGCTTTTTTCGCTCTATCGGTTGACTACACTAGACTCATTGCAATTTGCATATATACATGATTAATTTGATTAGTTATTGAGCTACCAATCAAAGATAAATATCAATACATATATATATATATATTTGTAGTCTAAAAAAAGTCGACTTTTTTATTTTAATTTTATCAATATTATTCATAAAACAATAGTTCTAACTTAAAAATAATTGAACTATCCAATCATTTGTCAAAATGAAGGCCTAAATGATTTCATCATGGCTGATTAATCAAACGGATCAGATCCGACTCTATGAGAAAACTCAAGATCATTATTGTATTAATCATTTTCTTTTTAAAAATCGATTGAGCAGTACAATACAATTAAATTTGATGGAAAAACGTTCTCAGGACCTCTATCTTCAATACTCTTCAATAATACAGAATTTCTTATTTTAGATGCAAAAAGGATCGTTTCATTCTTGTAGTCCTTTCTGCTCTTGTCAATAACATATTTTCTCAATCTTATCATTTTCATTAACAATGTCTTACGAATCAATAAATAATTTTTATTCAAATCCTAATGCTCGAACTCAACAAATGATGATGAATGCAATTAGAGGTTCATCTAATTATAATGTACCAACGTCGCAGCCTCCAATGACAAATCAATATCAGTCGTATCAATCCCATTCTTCTCATCAAACAGTAAGTTTCTATGACGAAGATAATATACAAAAACAAAATCTAATAAAATATTCAGTTTTCACCTTATGAAAGATATGAACCACGTTCAAGTGGTTATTACGCACCAAATATTGGTACTTATGAACACCAGCAGTCGCCGATAGGACCAACTTCTTATGGCGAAAATCAAATTCAGGTATTGAATTATGCGCAAAAACTCATAGTTTATTTTCACACACAATAACTATGACAATACTGAATTTCATTGCAATTTGTTTTCGTTTGTAGTCATCATCATATTTATCGAAAGATAGTAATACATCTTCATCAATAAATGATTTAGTAAGTGTCTTATTAATTAATACTAGTTTCTTTACGCATAAAAGTGTAACTTTGATTGCTTTTCTTTAGAATACAAGAACAAGAACGAATGACCACCAGAGTAGTAATCCGATCATGCCAACAAAACAAACACCTCAAGGTGATTTATTTTATTTTAAAAAGAAAGCTATTTATTCTTCTTAATTTTTATTGTAGGAAGTTTCGGTTATAACAATACTTCTTTCATGTCAACAGTTCATCCATTATCAAAACAACAACAAACATATTTTACCTATTCCAAACAACAAGGTTTGTCCTTAAAAAATTTTTAGCAAACTAAAGTTTTTCATATGCGTCGAGAAATGAAATAACAGCAATATAACGAAATATTGTAGTATGTCAGTGTATCTTATTCATATGAAGAAATAATTATTACATGAGAGAACAGAACACTATCATATGTATTACTAAACTTTTTTTTTCTCTCATGATAGATGATATGTATGATAACAGTAATACACCTAAATATTCATCTGGTAATTCTGCTATGAACAATTCTTGTTTTCCTGCATCGAATACCAGTACTTATCGATCTCTATATCAAAATGAAATGAATTCTACATCCGGCAAAGTCATGTCTTATCCTCAACCCACACGTTATCCATCTCAATTTAATGAGTCAAAAGGTTATATACCTCCGTTACAAATGACTTGTCCACCTAACATATCTACTAGTGCTGCTGATTTAGATTCAAATTATGCTTATCCATTTAATACTCATTCATCGACGTATGTTCAACCATCAACAAATGAATATCATCTTCCTTCTGTTCAAGATAATGATAATAATTTGTTTAAAACTAAATCAATTCAGTCGAATGTATGTAAATCTCCAAGTTGTACAAGCATATCCTCATATGTTCCAGATGATATCGATTCAAGTAATTCATCTTTTTCTGATAGTCCATCAATATCAAATGAAAAAATTTCTCAAAAACGTAAAACTTGTCAAACTACTTCAGTCGAAGTATTTAATAAATTACGTGAAATGGGTAATGAACAAGAACGAAATTTATTTGTTGATCGTTTACAAAAATTATGGGAAGAACATCATGTTATTTGCCGAAAACTGCCAACTATATCTCGGCAAACTATTGATTTATATCGTTTATATGTGTATATTCGTGAACAAAATGGTTTTGAGCAGTTTTCAAAAATAGCAAAAAATCGTCATTGGCGTGATATCGCATCAAAATTAAATATTCCGAATACTACAACTGCACCTTTTCATGTTAAGCAAAAATATATTAATCTAAAATTATTTCATTTTGAATGTAAATATGACCGAGGCGGTATTGATCCTGATCTTATATTAGCAGAAATTGACAAAGCACAAGACAAACATCTGAAAACAGCAAATAAGAAAAATAATAAAAAATTAGCATCTGTTCAAGATCAATTAATGCAACCATCAAACCAATCTTCATCAATTGAACAAAGTGGTATGGATACTTCGCCATCACAACAATCTCGAACAATTGCATCGATTGAGTCAAAAACATTACAATCGCCCAGTTTAATTTCTACTTCATCTATTTCAAGGTAAGATACAATACAGCTAAGGATAAAATATATTTAAATGTTTCTTATTAGAAGTCTAAATAAGCCATCGGGATAGACCCTGATTTTTCAGCGTGTTGAAGGTCAGACAGGATACGTCCTTGTAATATTTTTCCTAAATTTTCAATAAACTTCATTGTTTTTTTTGCATGAGAAAATGAACGCATCAATATATACAGCGCTGAGTTTTTGCCATTAGAGCCTCTGAAATATTGTTTTTTGAATTATTTTGGTTGAACAAACTCATTTCTAGTAATAGATTATTCATTATCTGCATATTTATGTAGTTCATTTATCCGTTTTGGAAAGTTAGTATTTGTAGTTACTAGTTGATTATTATTATCATTATTTTAATATGAACTATTGACTAATTCATATTGTTTCTGATTCATATTTATATTATTATCAGCATAGAACAGAACTTGATATATCCATTTCAACTTATTCACTAAATGCATTGAAAATATTCTTATTTAAGAATAGAGTTTTTTTCTTAATATTGGTATTTTCTATTTTGTGTTTTCTTAGCACTTATCTATTGTATTATACGAATAAATTTTTTGTAGGGTGGTATCATTTCGAACTTTCTTGAGGATCAGACCGACAAAAAAAAAGGTCAATTTGGACCTGTTTCATAGAATTCGAAACATCATCAAGAGACATTCCTAGATGATGTTGCATTTAACATGTTGATTTCTAACATTAGATTTTCATTAATATTTCTTTTTTTCAGTACAAATTATCAATTACAACAAGTTCCTACGTTGACTAATCATTTTTCAAAAAAATCGGAAGATTTATCTGACTTAAATTCGACATCAAAACCTATTTCCTTTCCAATAAATTCTGTTGAAGCAACAACTATTTCATCTAAAATTAAACGGAAAAAATTAACCGTTAAGGACGTTAGTATGTATCATTTTTATTTCTTTTTCTGTCATAAGCGTTTGGTTTTTCTTCTAGCACCAATTGATTCAATGAAATTACTTATGTCATTACGTGGTGGTCTATTAGCTGAAACCACCTGGGCATTAGATACAATTAACATAATGCTAAGTGATGATCAAACACATACATATTTAGATTTAAAACAAATGCCTGGTTTACTACAAGCAATTGTTGATATCTATAGTAAATGTTTAACACAATTATTCGATGGATTTAAAATTGAAAATGAACAAGTTTTAAATGATTCAAGACAAGACTACCAATATAAACAAGAACATGACTCAGTTATTTATCGAATTGAATCAAATTATTTAAATGAATATCAACAAAAATATATTAAACAACAGAATATTATTTATGAGAATGTGTATGATGATCATGGAAAATTAAAGAATAATCCCGAAGATGTATGCATTTATTTATATATATTTTTTTTTATCATAAGGTCATTTGTTTTTTCACTAGTTAATATGAGATATTATGAGAGAACCAATTCAAGTGATTCAGAGCTTATGTGCTGATATATTTTCCATACACAGGAGCTAATACGACTAGAAAAAATGTCAAAAGGATAAGAATCCATAGATCTTTCTTGCCCAGCTGTGAGTATCTTAGTAAATATATTACTTGTAACAAGAGATTTATCGAAAAGTCAAAGTACAGAAATTTCGATCTGAAATTTTCTTCCCGCGTAGATCTCATTTCTCATATAACGATCTCAATGTCACACTTAAAATGAATCCTTTAACTATTTTGAATACAAAAAAGAACACTCGATTTGACTATGACATTTAGGTTGTTATAAGTATCATAAGATTTACATGTGGAAAAATTTTCGGATCAAAATTCTGTATTTTGATTTCTTAGTGCTCATCATCAGGTAAAAAATATCTATGAACCCTATATCTTTTTAGCATTTTTTAAAGTTTCATTGGACTCTACATATGGAGAAAATATCAGCGCGTAAGCTCTGAATCACTTGGAATAGTTTCCTTGTAAGTAAAAATCCCAAGGCATCAATTAAATGTTCTAACTAAGAACATGTATATTTGAGACTTGTAAAACTACATATCGAATAGTGACCGCTCATTGATTAATTATTGGTCCTCTTCAATTAAATTCAGATCGATTAATCTTACTTAAGTGTGACTAATATCAGCTATTTTCGTATTGTCAGTGTTACATAATAACCAAATGAAACTTTGTCGATCTGTGTTGAAAATTTCATTTAGCGATACTCTGAGAGTTAACAAGAATGCATTCATTTAAAGCGATTTTATTTTTTAATGATCAAGGAAACGATTTATGATATATCGAGATGTGAACAATGCCGTTATATACACACGAAGTCATTTCTATATTGAATTTTTATTTTTTTCCATATCAACAGTTTTATTTCGTTTTAATATAAAACTTTTAAATAATGAATTTATTTTTTGTTAGGTTCTAGAACTTCAAAATACAAATGATTTAAGTTATATTCAAACTCATTTTGATCCATTACATAAAGAAGATAATTATTATGAAAATCTTTATTATGGTCATCATTTTGATGATACATTATCGGCAGATGAACACGATCAAGAACCAATAAAAAAGTCTTATACACCATTACGTAAACATATTACAACATATGAAATCGATAATACAAAATTTCATGATCAGAATTCTGATCTATTACTAAATATATCAGATAGTAATAAAGAATTTCTTCAACGTTATAAACGAAAATTTCAATCTGACGACAGTTCTTCTCATATTTATTTGACAGATTTTAATTCTTTTCCTAATTTAAATGATCAAGAAGAAAGTACATCAACATTATTTACTCAATATTCATTTGGTTATGATCAAATATGTTCTCGTTGTATATGTGTATCATCAATTATACGAAATCTTAGCTTTATATCAGGCAATGATATTGAATTGATTAAAAATAAAACATTAATTCATGTATTAGCTCGCCTTTTATTACTTGGACATACCATGAATCATACCAATAAAACAATTTCTCTGTCAAATGAACAAATAAAAGAATCATCGAATGATCATATCATAAACGATTATTTATCAAAGGTAATTCAAATTCTCTATCAAATTTTAAAATATAAAGATTAGAGGTATATCACTTATTTATTTTGCTTGTGTTACAGAAATCATGCCGTACATTGTTTTAGTTTCTCTAAAAAACGAATTAGCTCCGCATGAAATCTTTTGTAATAACACACTTCTGATGTTGTGACATATAATACAGTCTTTCACTAATGCGTAGATAGTAAAGAGTATGTAAGAGCTTGAAAAAAGTGTAAGCGAACTCTACACCTTGCCTTAAATGAGACAAGTTCGATGGTTATTTCGTACAACTATTTCTATTAGCGAGCTGTAGGTTCTTCATAACTCGAGTTCAGCTCAACTTGGGTTGTGTTTGGTTTCTAACACATTTACATTTCGTCGGATCCAGATTTTATGCAGACTAAGCTTTAGAGTTTGTCTGCAGTCAACTTTAATTCTGTATACAGAAGATTCCTAATTAATCTATAATATTCTCAATCCTCTTTTTAAAGTTTTGATATCATTTACATACATACAGCTAAAACTGTGTCATACGGCTGAAGATTTTGGTGTCATTGTTGTTTTGATTTTTGTTTTAAAAATGTCTAATCTTGTTGAAAACAAAATTGGATCTAATTCCATACAAATGAAAACCTACAGCTTGTTAATGTCGCTATTAACCTATCCAATTGATAGCATAGGAACCATTGCGCATTGACAAGGATTTATTTATCGAGCACTCTCTACGATGGAACATTCCGTTGTTTGAAATTTTCTTGTAAAAAAAAAAAAAGAAAAATTATTTCAATTATTTGTCTTTGATTTAGAACGAAAATCAGAACACTTCATCATCATTTTCTTTATCTGAATGTTTAATAAATATTCGTGAAAATACTCTAGTCACATTAGCTAATATTGCTGGTGTACTTAATTTTGATACATATGATTCATATTTAATAAATCAATTAATTAATGGTCTATTACATTGGTCAACATGTTATTCAGGTGAAGCTATTGATCCATTACAATCATCGTATATTTCTGCTCAACATCTATCTATTGAAATTTTAACTAAATTAAGTGTACATGATATGAATATGGACTTTATTTTAGCAACACCATCATTTTATTCTATAATATCTTTATTTCATATATTAACTGATTGGTTAAATGTGGATAATATGAATAGTAATATATCAAATTCATATACAAATGTAACACGATCTCAAGCATATATTCAACGTGAATTTGCAATTGTTTTATTAAATGCTTTAGTACGATGTGATTCAAATGCTGCTCATATTATTGCAAATATTCCATATACAATATCATTATTAATTAATTTTTTAGAAGATTATGAAAGAAAAACTACAGAATTAATAACACGTTATGGTTCAGATTATGTTTTACGTTTAATCAATACTCAAGAAACAGAACAAATATTATTTACAACAAATGATATGTTAGCACGTGCAGCAACATGTTTATTATCGATGATTAATTATACAGATAATATTAAAATAATGAAAAAATATGAAGATCGTATTTTAAATTTATCAATATCAAATGTTATGGATCGAAATATTGGACGAATTCTTACAGATATTTTACATTATTGTTCATTATACAACAGTTAAATTGTAATATTTATTTTGTACAAACTTTTTGTTTTTTTTTTCGACAAAAAAATGTATTTTTATGTGGTCATGATGTTGTATGTATGTGTAAATTTTGTTCTTTTTTCGTCTTTTTCTTTTTCTCATATACACTTCGTATTTGTTTTCTGTTTTGTATGAATCTCGAATGATTTTAATGAAACGAAAAAAATATACAGATACAGAATGTGTTAAAATCGTTTGTAATTTAGCAATGTTTGTACCGGATGGATTAAAATATTTTTCCTAGAAAAGAGCGATATATTTTTAGATAGTATAAACAGTACATTTATAACAAATAAAAATTCTTTAAAAATGAGACTATCTCTGCAGGAATGCATAGATTTATGAAGAATTTTCATCGTTGAATCATAAAAATTTTACGGATCATTAGCACGACAAAATGTTCTTTGCGGAGAGAGATGTTTTAACTAAAATGAGTATAACGAACTTATGTTTTTATAATTTATCAAATCATGAAAATTTTAAGCGTAATTTTACTATGCTTATTATTTTCCTATTACAACCATATTGATTATTCTCTCTCTCGTGATAGAATAATTTCTCGGGCCTATGATTCGTAAATTTTCAAAATGTAACAGAAAAACATCTTCATAACTCCTAAGTATTCGTAGAGATAAATCCTGTTTTTTCAAAAACCTTATTTTTATTAAAAAATTTATTATTTATGCTATTTGAAGTTAGGGTTTTTACTCCCATAGAATATATTTATTATACACCATCAATATATATTAAATCTATTATTATATTGATAGCGACTTTGGTTGTCAGTCAATAGTAACAGAAAGAAACAAAATTCCGTCTGTTGTTTCTCTTCTTCATTATTCTTCTCGATGATCTTGACCATGAGAATGTCTTATATATAGCGAAGTTCTGAAAGTTCTTGGTAAAAAAATGTGGTGCCTTCTATCCTTTTTATTTTCATTTGTTTATCAATAGTGTTGCAAAAAAAACTGAGATTAGATAATTTAAACGTTCGCTCACATTGTACTTGAACTAAGAAATTTACTTTTCTTGTTCAATGACAAAAAAAAAGAGAAAGTTTTAATAAAGAAGTACTTAAGCAAGAGGTATAGATAAGAAGATCATTATCTATAAATGCAAGTCAGAGTAAGACTTTTTATTCCATAGTATTTTCAGAGAAATATATGTTATTTCTTTTTATTTCTCTCTATTCAATTATGATTAATGTAAGTTTGTACTTTATGTGAGTTCCGTTTATTGTGATATCTCGATTATGATGACAAATAGAAGATACAAGAAGAATGGCTAGAGAACAAGACTATGAATGCAATATCTGACCCAGATAGAATAGAACGAACACGAACATGTATAAGAACAGACTGGGAAAATTCCCAATTAACAATTAAAACTAATGTACAATTTCTAATTATTCATTTCAGATAGAATGACTTCTACGCACTTTTTCGTTTTCATTACATTAAATCTCTTATATTATTCACGTAAGTTTTATTTCTTTTTTTCATAAGAATTTTATATTTCGATCGTTGTTTTTAGAATCATTACAATCTGGTTATACATGTGAAACATCAGTAACATTAACATGTTCTCAATCACAAAAAATAGTCATTCTTGAAGTGATTTATTCATCAGAATGTCCAAACTTGAACGAAGAATTAAATGGCACTTCAATATATGCACCGTCTCGTTGTATTGGTTATTATCGTGAACGAGTAGGTACTTTATGTAATGGAAAAGAAAACTGCATTATAGACAATAGTCTCGAACAACGTCCAGCATTTCTTATTGGTAAACAAGCTAATTGTGCATTTAAAGGACAAAGTATAAATATTGAATATTCATGTATTCCTGGTAAATTAACAAAAAACATGAATAAATAATTGTTGATGTAATAAAAAATTATTTTAGATTTTGATTCGAATAAACTACCTCGTATTGATATTTGTTCATTACAATCTCTTGATGGTATCAAAGAAGGTTTTATTCATACACCTAATTATCCAAATAATTATCCGAATAATCTGGCATGTTTAAAGACAGTACCAGCACCAGTTGCAAGTCATCGGTGAGTTGTTTATTACCAAGTTAGTTTTGTTTTTTTTGTCAATTAATTATTTTTCTTTTAGACTAAAAATTTATGCTCTTGATTTTGATGTTGAAAGTATTAGTGTAGTTCGTTTGACAAGTATTGCACGTATTAATGATTGGTTAGAAATTAATGATAATGGAGAAAAATTATATGGTACTCGACTGCCATTTACTCTCTTATTTGATGATGTTATTGAAGCATCATTAATGTTTAAATCAGATTTGTCTAATACAAAACGATCATATAATGGATTTTTACTTTACTTTATCGGTAAGACAATTTAGTCATTCATAAATGTAGAAAGAAGATTTGTGATTGCACTATTCAGATAATCATGTCACTCCCCATGGAATTTTTTTTGTGAAAAACCGCTCGAAACCGCGGTTTCACAAACTGCGGTAATCAACGATTTTCGAAACTGCAAAAGTCAGACCTTTTATGCGGTTTCTCAAAACCGTCAAGAACCGCGGTAATTTCTCACCTCGGTTTTCACCGGCATTCAAAACCGCATAAAAGGTCTGACTTTCGCGGTTTCCTGAACCGCTGAAAACCGCGGTTTGTTGGACCGCTATATACCGCGGTTTTCGTAGCCGCACCTGACTCAGGTATGACCTGACTCACCTGAACTTTCGAAAACGTTCAGGTGAGCCGCCCTTCGAGGGGCACTGTAGTGAACTTTTATAAGTTCCATTACCACAAAGTTACATTGTAGTGAGAGATAGAATAAGACAACTTATTCTAAAATTTCATTAAAATAGCAGGGCACGACATCCTCTTCGCCCTTACATATTCCATTACGATGGTATAAGCACCAGACATACCGCGATTCTTCAGCTGAAAACCGCGGTTATCAATAACGCGGTTATTCGGCGGTATACCGCGGTTTCTAAGACCGCTGAATACCAAGGTATTTGTCACTGAGGTTACTAATGACTATACCGCGATTTTTGAAACCGCTCAATACCGTGCTATTTATCACCGCAATTACTGATTTCTATACCGCGATTTTCGAAACCGCTTAATATCGCGGTATTTGCCACCGAGGTTACTAATGACTATACCGCGGTTTTTGAAGTCGCTTAATACCGTGGTATTTGCCACCACGGTTAGTAATGACTATACCGCGGTTTTTGAAACCGCTCAATTCCGCGATATTTGCCACCGAGGTTACTAAGGACTATACCGCGATTTTAAAAACCGTTGAATACCGGATTATGCAATACCGCGGTTTCCAATAACTATATCGCAATTTTTTAGACCGTTGAATACGACGGTATTTGGAACCGCGATCCTGAATACGAGCAACGCGGTTTCAGAAAACCGCGGTTCAAAAAAACCGCCATCAACCGCAGTTATCCAATCGAAACCGCGGTTCCCTCTAGTAAAACCGCGGTCGAATGAAAAAAACCGCGGTTTTGAGCGGTTTTTTGAAAAAAATTTTTCCATGGGTCTAGATTAAAAGTGGATAGCTAGAATATAAACTATGATTTTTTAAGTCCATAGTTCTATAATGAATAGGCGACATTGAAACCAAAATATTTGTACTCATAACTAGAACCTATGATAATCTATTCCTGAGTTATGATCTTAATGAATTTGCTCATCTTAGAAAAGTTTCTGTTTGGAAAAAAATTTTACTTCAAATGGTTTGGTGACAAAATTTGATGACAGATAGTTCACGTTGAAACTACATACAATGTCTGAACAGTTTCAACAGAAATGAATTTGTCTATCTTAATATATTAAGTTTGGAAGAAAAATATCTTGAACATCATGGCTCATGTTTGATGATTGATCAGATTTTTCTAAATTTATTTACTTGTGATAAATACATGTATTTTTATTGAAACTTTCTAGACATTTTAATTTAATTTGTTCAAAAATAATATTTGGCTAAGAAAGATAGATTCAGTAAAATGATCATCACTTAAAGACAAACCCATATGATCGTAACTACTATTCTAGTCTCAATATCACCTATTTAGGATACAGTGCTGAACTTAAAAAATAATGAATTATATTGAAGGAATCTTCGTTAAGCGCATGTTTTCTCTGATCTTGTGTCTATAATCAGATACTGTCTGAGTATTACAACTGATGAGATTATTCGAACATTAATTTTAGCAATATCATAACAGACAGCTAGAAGTAGATCTAAAATTATTATCATGTGTCTTTTAGTCACACCGGTTCGTCGTTCTCGACCACCACCAATAACAAAAATAATAACAGCTACAAATTTGAACGCTCTCTCTATTGATGACTCTACAAATGCAATTGAGCAAAAAGCAGCTGGACTTACTGTAGATAATCGACGAGAAAGTAAGTCAAATCGAACTTTAAAGATTAAAACTAAGAAATCTATTTTGTAAATTAGAAAATGTCGGCTTAATTTTACTTGTTATTCTTCTCTCTGGCATTCTTTTCATCGTCATTTGTGCCGTTCTACTCTACAAACGGTAATTAAATAAATTTAACTTGTTTTTTTTTCTTTTTTTAATAATTTAAAAAAATTTTAGTCGTAACGATCGTCGTATTCGTTATTTAGTTGAAACATTTAACTCATTCATACCAAAACAGTCAAAATCGATAATGCTTGATTCAGTAGAAAATAGTGATGAAACAAAAATTGATTTAAAATATGATTTATCTTCCATGAGTAACAATAATAAATCAATCTTAAAATATTCAAATGAAAAATTTCAAGATTCAGATCATATTTATTCACAAGATCCACTTGAAACGAAAGATTCTTTAAAAACAAATGATAATGATTCACTTCTATATGAATATATTGATTATGCAACAATTAATCATCAAAACAAATAATCATTTTAAATCAAATTAAAAATATCATTTTATTCAAGTTTACAGATATTAACGAAAATGACATTGATCTCTTTTTATTTGTGAATATATAAACTAGATATACTTATTGAACAATGTATGTTTTCTCTTTATATTCTTACTCATGCTTGTTTGAATTTATTTTTCGTGTTGCCGTGCTTAATTATAAAAACAAATATATACGAGCATATAAACAAGAATATTATTTTAATAATAATGTTGTGTGATGAAATGTAAGTGAATAAACTAATTATAAGGTAAACTAATTCATCAATCATATATTTATTTTATACTGCAAAGATGAGAAATGATATCATCACATAGTGTAATGTTTAGCAAAGAAACGAAAAGAAAATTAAATTGCTTTATAATCTATCAGGAAATTTCTTTCATATTACTTTACTGTTAACAATGACTTTTTGAAAAAAACATTGATAGTTTGATTGTATTTTTGGTGTGAAGTAAATAATTAATTGATGAATTAGTTTAGCTTGCAATTAGAATATTAGTTTCCATTATACACATAGTAAAAATTTTCGATCATTCAAAAAGGAAATTTGTTAGTCATATTTGCATAAAAGAAGTATGAAAACATTTTAAACTTGTTTTTCATACTCTCTGTAGATTGTTCAATCAATTCTAGAATTGATTTTTATTTAAAACTAGCAAGAAATCTTATTATATTCGTATTGATGTCTGTGCATAGTTCATATAGTCTTTTTTCATAAATGTCATATGCTCTGTTGCATTAAATATATAAATGAACATATAGCAAGAATTTTTAATATACCTCAAATTTTCTGGCTAAAAAAATCGAAAATTCCAACAAGTTTTGGTTTGACGCTCATCAATTTAAGGTTGGATAATTAATCGTTGATTCTGTTTCTGAATTTGAACGATATGTCGCTGAATCGATGTTTTGAAATGTGAACAGTCCAATAGTTATGTTATTCACATTTCAGATCATCATTAATATATGATTATTAATCTTTAAAACAATTGTTCTCTTTGAAACTATATAGAACCGAGAAACGATACTCTCCTTAAACTCTTGCAAATATTACCTAAAATGTAGCGTTTCAGAACAAGAAATTTTCTCATCGACGAAGGAACGTTTTCAACTGTTCAATCTAGACATGTGCATGACTAATTCTGGTCCCGGAGTTAGAATTGAAAATCTCTCTATAGCCTCGAAGCATAATAAAGTTTCGAAAACTATGTTTTGTAGAGAAATCTTTTCTCTACAATATAATGCTAACGCAAACACTATGTGATTATCATAGCCGGAGAAAATGGTGTCAGAGTCAACCGAGACCACCATCGGGATCGGGATCGGGATCGGGACTAGTTTGGTCCCGGTCATTATACTTGCTAAATTATTTCATAACGAGAATCTGTAAAATATTTTAAAACATACAGGCAGAAAGAGCAAAAATTTCTCCACACAATACATTGTTACAGAATAATTTAAGAGTGCAGCTGATGAAATAGCAGGTCAATGTTTGACCGGGACCAGAAAGTGTTTTTCGGTCCAGCGTACATCTCTAGTTCAATCACTTTCTTGCCGAAAATTAGTAGATCGTTAGTTATCGATCATGCTAATTTCGAATATGCTCATGAGAGATCTCTTTAGATCTTGGTATGTTGGTTTTCTAACAAACTGATTTCTCAGACTTATGAACTTTTCGCAAAAGCTTTTTTCGATCTGTTCAGATCATAAAACATATCGAATTGCCCAGAAAACAGCAGCTTTTTCTATTTCAAATCGTTTTTTTACAAAAACTAAACTATTTTAATTTATACAACACAGTCATGTTTGATATTTCGATGTAAAAATTTTCAAGATGATCATTGTTATTTTACTTAAAAATCATTTTTGAAAAAAAAAAAGACCAAATGAATTATAGAAAACTCTGTATTTTTTATAATCTAAGTTGATCTAAAATGAGTATGGTAAAATGTATGTTAGTCTGAAAAACCAGCATATAAAGACCTAAGATGTTTTATATTCATATTAAGAATCAGCGTGTGTGATAATCTATGATTCAACAAGTTTTGATGAGAAAGCGATTGATTAGTTGAAAATGTTTTCTCGCGACTATAATGCTCGAATTGACTGATCTTCTGTTAGTATATATTGAATGATCTAAACTGTATTGCTATATATCTGTATATCTGTTTAAATTAGCATAGTTTATAATATTTATGAATAGATGTTCATGTAAATCGACGCATATTCAGGATGATTGCTTCCTATGTCGAAAAGATTAAAATCCTTTGAGAAAGTGTAACTATGCAGTAACTGTCCTTTTGTTGAGAGTATTGATGAAAGACATTATCGAATGAAAATGACTTTTTTTGATAGCAGTATTTATTTTAATATTGTATATTTAAATAGTTAATTATTAGTTTGTAAAAAGTGTTTGAAAAATTTAGAGTTTTACGAGATACTTCATAATGATTTAAGTTGACTGCTACTAAATTGTAAACCAATGTAATCGGTAGGACTGTATCCATACATTGTGACAAGTTGGTCTTCATCAATGAATGTAGCTCCACATCGTTCGTAAAATTTCAATGCTGGTTTATTTAGTCGTCGACAAAGACATGTGTAAGATGTTGCTGAAGGAAAAACTGTACTAAGATATTTTAAAAGACACAATCCATAGCCTTGTCGCTTGAATACTGGATCCACAGCATATTGAGAAATGTATATACCATTTGAATCAATTTTACTTTCTTTTATTGTCAAAAAACCAGCGACAACGGATGAAGGTGGAGGTGTGTATATCACAAAACAACGACATTGATGAGAAAGTAATTCATTAACTTCTTCATTAAATGCTGTTTCCAACCAATTTAATAGTGTTTCACCTGTTGGTAAATTTAATTGTGGTTCTATAGTTTTATAATATTCATAGAATGCCGAAATAAACACACGTCGTAATTCAATCAATAATGAATCATCATTACTTGTTGGAACAAACTCTTCTATATGATGTTGCTTGATTGTAGGATGGTATGTTTTTCCATCTTTCGATGATAAATCCAAATTATTATTCGAGTTCATTTATAAAAATATCTGAAAAAAAAAATGCGTATCTCATTTTTGTTTATATTTAAAGTATCTACCGATATGTATCATTGAATCTTCGTATTACTTGATTCCTTCATTTTCGGTGCAATATTGACGATGACGCACTATTGAAATGCATGATTAATAATAAAAAAAAATGATAGAAATGACAACATGCGTCATGGCTGCACGCGTGCGAGCAGTGCAGTATCTATATTTGCAATATCAAAAGTGCATTATGAAAAAAGTGTAATTAGGAAGAAATAAACGAAATTTAATGGTTTATTCCAATGTAAATATTATTTTTTTGCTTAAATTAACAAAAGTCTTATTTTAAAGTCGTTATCCTTTCATTTTGCATTCAAACAAAAATTAGACAGCATTACTGTTTAATCAATTATATGTTGAATCATGTTGTAAAGAATATTCGAATCTAAATGACCTATCGGATCAAGTATATATAGTTACACTATATTGATTGAACCGGTAGGTCATACATCTGAAAAATATCAAATTTATAAAAGCTGCACAGTTTTTCTCTTATGTCTGGTTGATTATCTTTTTAGAATTAGTTAATACTGTTACCACCATATTACTTTCTTTATTCTTTGTTAATATATGAAAAAAAAAGTATCTAGAAAATAAGCTAATAAGAACCTAAAAGAATGGATTTTTACATGTTTATATTCGTTTGAAATCAACTTTATCAAAGGATAATTGTTTCAAGGCTCTGCTTTAACTAAAAATTAATCTAATCATATAGTTCCGATTGCTTATTTTAGGATATTGAATCTATGTACGTTTCTAATAAACAATCTACTAATGTACAATATCACTATAGATCAACTATGAGTCAATTAAACTTGTGTCTATAATTCTCTTATAAATTTTAAACTACGTCATTTTTTAATCAATTTATCTAAGTTATTTATAACTTTAGTGTACACATTATTTTTTATAGTTCCAGAGAAAATGTAATAGTCGCTGTATTTAACATGAGTTAAATGACGTCCTGTTTTAGTCATAAGGTCATGAGAAATGACTCACAAATCAGTATAGAGTATCGTCATACAATATTAATTAACATAAGTTTCAATTTTCAAGACATTTGTCTAACTATTAAAAGATATTGTAAGAATAACAACAGATAAGAACGTTAATTTAAAATTAACTAGCAATGAGTTTTTTTTCTTCTCTCAATAATTATTTTATTGCGTATATAAAAAAAAGAAGTGGAAAAACAAATATAAAACGAAAACGTGTCTCTAAAATACGAGAAGGAATGCAAGAAAAACAAACGTTGCTTCAATAATTTTTATTTTATTGACTTGCATATACATATTTATCAATATATGTACTGTTTTTAATGAAGAACGTATACAAAGTGAAGTAAGCATATAAAAAGCGGAAGCAGAATACTCGTAGCCATTGAAGACATAGAAGCAAGGGCTACACACAAAAGGATATCTATCAACTGAAGAAGTATGTCCAGATTTTCAAATTTATAATAATTTTTAATGCAGCCAAAGAATCTATCAAAGAAAGAAATACAAAAATCTATTGGTAACTTCCAAAGTTGCACAGTATATATCGAAGCCAATCATAGAGAAAAAGTTAATTGATCAGAAATTAAGAAACTTCTTCAAATACTAATAATCAATTTCTCAGTGAGTAATGAAATTATTTAGCCACTACAAACGTATTTCCAAACAATTTCGATAATTACCACTCTTCCAACAGAAAATCTCTTCCTCGTTTTTGTAGAAATTGCCAAGTGATTAAACAAATTACCTATATTTTGCAAGGATACGTTCTTTTTCTGCGTAACAAAATATATCGATATTTATTGAGGATATATATACGGTTATTTCCGTATCTACTGAAGATTACTAGCAGTTTTGCAGTAATTGCTCAAGTTCAGTTTATCGTTTGCATGTAATTATCTCGTAACATGTTTTTTTTCAAAAAACTTCTCAATATTATCCCTTTTTGAAAACAGTTGGACATTGGAATTTCCTAGGAACTGTTGTATTTTCCAGCAGATAATTTTGATTGATTTAATGAAAATTATACTAACTGTCGAACTTTTTTTCTGAGATAGTTTTTCTGTGGGAGCAGTTTCTGTAATTTTGTTTTTGATGAGAGCAGTTTACTTCTCAGTTATTGGAAGCTATTTTCAGGACTTTGAACTTTTATATTTGACTCGAAAAAAGCAATGTTTTCTAGTATACAGATGACTCAGCATGGATAAACCATGATCTACTTCCAGAAATGATTCTCAGTCAATGATCGTCAATTTGGCTAGTTTTTTATACATGTCGAAAAAGGAAGGTGTTTGATGAATTTCTATCAAAAGTCATTCAAAAAAAAAACATTGTTCTATTTTCGAGATATTTAGATTTTTTTTGAGAGCACTATCATTAAAAAAACATAATTTTCGTACTTTTTTTGCAGTTTTTGAGACAGTCATACCTCATCAAATATGCATTCACTTGACTTGAAAATTTTACTATGAACGTATCTTATGTTCAAGTACTTCTCATAAAATATGAGATGCCATGAATCGATAGTACTGCTGGAACAATCTCTAAAGTAAAATCAGTAACTCAGTCAAACAGTGTTTGCTATTTTGTGATATTACTTGTGTATCATATGTTAATAATTACTTTACATTGTGAAAACGAAGCGTAGAATAATAAACATTACAAAATGGCTTATTAATATCATAAACTATACATCAAATTTTCATAAATCCTTTCAGAATTTGTACTAATTTTATAAGTTCTTCAAGAGTTCATTATACGTTTGTTTTTTATAAATTCTTAACCGACTATGAAGATAATAAACTCGTGATAGATTTACTATTTATTTTCATAAACACTTGAAAGTTTTATTATCTTTGTAGTCGTACAAGTTTTTTTTAAAACTGAAACGTTCAATAGATCCTTGAAGAACTTATGAAATTAGCATAGACCATAAACAAATCTATGAAAATTTTATTGTTCTACGTTTTTTTTGCAGTGTACAGAGACACATATAATTACTACCTAGTTAAATGTAATGTATCTGTTTTGCTTTTGACGCACAAGGATGTGTTTAGTGAAGCATGAAGCTATTTCCTTTGCTACGATGCGATCGTTCTTTCATTCACACAGATGCTTGTCATGCTTTCTTCCTTTTTTTTTGAAATACCGTGCTTTCTTGCGCTCGCCTATATCAAGTGAATTGTGATCGAGTCTGTCTTCAGTTAAACAATATTAAATGAGTATGGATTAGACATGGACGAGTACCAAAATACTTGGTTTTTGTATAGGTTTCATATCGATTTCGATAGTATTGATTTTGATTCACCACACTATTTTTGGTTATTCATTTTTCTAAATTTATCTCTAATCATTTTCCAAACATTCATAGAGGAGAAAATTACATATTAAAATTACTTAACAAAACCAAAACTTACTCTTTCAATCATTAATAATAGAGGCATTAAATTATTTTTATTGCTCTTTATAATGGAGAACAAATATAAATGAAATCTTTATGTTTACTTTATAAAGATAAATAAAAAAATTATTTATCTTTATATAATAATAATAAAATAGATTCTTTATTTTGAAAATTAAAGATATAATAAATAATAATGAAATTATGTTTTGTTTTTTGAGAACTTAATTTTTTGATTTTTTTAGTAGCTCACAAAATTTTATGATATCATAGATACCAGTAAAATATACAGAAAACATTTTTACGTATATTTTTTTATGTCTCAACTTTCATTTTTTTAATAATAGCATATATCGAAGTGATGCTGATGATGAGAGAGGATATTGATTTCTAAATCATTTCGTTCCATTAGATATTTGTCTATTTAATTATCAGAGAAATTTTTTTTTTATTCTTTATTTTATAAGTGTGGAGAGTCTATTTACCATTTTTTATTTTTTTTTTTATTAAATCTGTTTTTCAAAAATAAAAAATTTCTTTATCTTTGTGTTATAAATATAAAGGTTAAATTTATATTTATTCCATAAAGTAGAGATAAGATAACACCTTAATTAATCAAAAGAAATAATATTATCTCGTTCTAAGAATCAGCACCTAATATAACTGTCGTGTATTATCTTATAATAAAAAGAGATAATATAAGTTCTTCACCTTCTGAGACGGAAAATAAAGTATTCTAGAACCTTCAAAAAAACAAAAACTACATAAAGATGCCTAAACAAGATTTTCAGCATAACTCTCATCTGTAAAGAATAGGGAGCTCATATTCTATTACCCTAGGCAGCAAGATGAAGATTTTGAAGGTACAGAAATCTCTTTCAAAAACAAAAATACGACGAATTAAATTCGTCTCGGAGTGAGTGTGGTTCTGGATGAAGGTATTCCGTTCAATCATAACTTACGCAAATACTTACCACTACGACACTCACATCCGAATCCATGCCACAATCAACACACACCACACCCACATCGACATCTACAACACAAGTCATGCCTACACCCTGCAGTGACTCTTTAGAAAATAGTCGAAATTACCTCTGTCAAATCTCATTTAAAACTTCTATTTCTTGTATTTGCTTCAAAAGAAGGATTACATTTTTTTACTAATCATGCTTCTGTTAACAAGTAACAAGACATAATAGTTTTATCCATTCCATGAACAGAGTCGGAAACCAATAGAAAACTAATAGCATACTTTTAGAAAAATAAATCCGACAACTATTGCTTCTGTTTCAAATAGAAAATGAGTGAAAAACAACCTTATCCATCTTCGACAGCGTCAACGGCATCGGATGCTTTAGATCAACTCTCACGTGATGATCATGATGATATACAACATGATATATCGATCGATGGTATGCTAACAACATTATATTGTATAGCTTTTTCCATAATTCAGCAGATTAATTGTTGAAAACTGATATTAAACTTCAATATTTTTCTTTCATAGATGCTTCGCTTCAGTGGTCTTTGCAAAATGATGTTCAATCGGATGTTACCAATTTGAGAGATATTTCTCAAAATTCTGATGAAGGTCAGTATTTACAATTGAAAGTTCGAGAATAATTTATCATTTTTTAAAATATAGTTCGAAAAAGGCATTTGTCTCGTTGGGATGAATGTTTAGACAAAAAACTTCAGTCTCAACCACTAAAAAATCAACGTAAGTAAAAGTGAAGTGATTCAATATAAAAATATATATCTATTTTAATAATTTCTCAGCCGATCAAGACACAACCATTCAGTCGACACTTGACGAACTTGTTGTTCGAGAATTTTCACCACGTACGGCTCGTGATCCAATCTTACTCATATTACGTGAACTTTTCGTGCGTTCATTCGATCACTTTTATAAGGAAATTGAAGCTGAGCTTAAAATAAAATCCGGCAAGACACTTGTTGTATGGTTACAAGAAACATTTGATGAAATGCAAGATGAAATTCTTACTAAAAAGTGTCGATGTTTTATGCTATGCTCATCTGATACCGTCAAACATTACAAGACACAAGGTATCATTGGTTTTTTGACTTTAAAGGAAGAAGGTAATAGATCTGTCTATATTTCTCAATGCGCAATTGATGCCGAAAATAAACGTCGTGGCTATGGAGGTCATCTTCTGCTACATTTACGTACGATTTATCCACCAGGTACTTCTTACTGGGGCTTGTGTCGACGAGCTAATAGACCAGCTGTAAAGTTTTATTTGAAGCAAGGCGCAAAATTCATCGACAATGAAGAGGTGGCTACTAAATATGACTATGATCCAACATTGTATACTGGCTTTCAATTCACTGATACCATAGGATACGTTCAACCGAGGTAGCAATGATGAACATGATATTTCAGCAAACAAATTCTTATATAAAAACGTTTATTTTTCCATAAATAGTGATTCTCATTCATCGACTTCACCATCTACCTCTCCCACAACAATACCAACATCAGAACCATTACCAAAACGACGATTAAATGCCACGTATGTTCATTTTGAAATAATTGCTTTTATTAATTTCGAAGGTTATTTGTTATATCGAATGTACAATATTCTCACTATATATCGTTACGAAGCTTAATGACAAATATATTAGACGCAATTGGAAAAGTCTTTTTCCCGCTTCAAGAATTTGTTGAGACTTTGTCCTGAAATTAATTCCAATTCTGACGAGCAGATATGAAAGAGGAAAGATTTTTCGATTACGACGGAAGGTCCTCAATTGTGAGTCTCAGTTTTGAATGGAATATACATCATTTTGTAGAGGTCGACGAGCTGATTCTGGTGGTATGTTTCGTTTTTCCACATAGAACTTCAAATGAATAAAACTGATCGATTGTACTAGTGGATATCTTCACTTTTGATAAGTTTAAAGAGAGTTGTTAGTTATACGGAACTTAACCCTTTGGTTGTGGGGTTTTTGGAAATACAGAAAAAAGTTTGAGTTTGCTCGTCAAAGTCTAGAGTAGGGTATATACATATGCCCAAGCGAATCAATGCATTGTATCAGGCTTCAATCAACGCAATTAAATTCTGGAATAGCAGAGTCGAGTAAAGTAACCTAAAGACTTATGAAATCCTTTGCGTAACCCCATGAATACTCTTATGATCCTATATTATGCAACAGATTTTATTAAATTGAATTTCTGGTTTTTCGTAAGACTAGAGCTTGAGAAATGCTCGCAACTTCTCAGCGTAACAATAGTTCTGGCATTCTGTGTAATTTCACAGATTTCTGTTTCGTTTCGTGCGACTTTGAACGATTTTGAGTTTAGAAAACCTATAAATTCTCATACACTTCTGAATTCACAATTCATTGTTTTTAACCATTATGCATGCATATTGGCATCATATAATGATGCTATGACACTAAAACCATGGAATAAAGAAAGAATACTGTATGATTCAAGAAAGATAGAAGATTGTAAAAGGTATACTCTGCATAAACGCTCAGCCCGCATATATGCGAACCACGTTAACCAAAGAGTTAAAGGATACTTAAAGTTTAAATGATCAAGTTAAAAAACATAGACATTGTCATTATGTGATAGTCGGTTATTATATTATGTTAAGC